TTTTATTTCTCTGCTCATTTAATTAATTATTAGCCATTGTACTCGTAATAGAAGACTTTCATTGCGTCTTGCCATTGAAATGTTGTGTGCGAAAAAAGATAAATCTATGCAAGCGTTGAATTGAATGGGCAGGGGGTGGGGGAAGGTGGAAGGGAGAAGGGAGAAGTGGGAAGGGGAAGGTGGATTTGTGTGATCTCAGCATCATTAACATTTCTGAAACCGGTTTCACTGTACATGCGACACAGTTCAAGTGGATTGGATACAAAAACACAGCAATAGCTTTGGAATTTTTATGTACTGATTAGGGGATCGGTCTCAAATTCGATGCGTTCTCAAACATATGTACATATGTCCTATTGACATTGTCTGAACGAACACCAGAAGAAGCTAGGGCTGTGCTTCAGGGTGAACTTGATGTGTCACTTGTTGCACGTTGCAAAACTGCATGTGGCACTTATTGGCCATGGGCACACCTGCACGCCCAGTAGAACTACATCGCCATTCATCGCGAATAGCTCAAAACCCGTTTGGTCAAAGCACGCACTAACCTAAAATCGCTGTCAACAATATTCGAAAATCACTCCGAGCTGCGTTAGCTCCGTAAATTCTCCGCAAATAAACCGTATGGATATGGCAAACCGAACGCAACGAATTGCCGCCAACGACTGAAAAGTCGGCGGAGAGCGATGGAAAAGTGCTGAGAAGTAAGTATTTGAAGTGGTTTCAGTCGTGTATCGATAGTGAAGCCAACCCGCCGATACCACCAACTACCGAGCTTTTTGGTTTTAAGCCAGCGAAACTGGTTTTTAAATACCTTAATACAGTTTGATACCAACGTTTTAAAAAGGCTCCATTTCAATTTCATACTGCACAACAAATTTTGAGGGTTTATTCTTTAGAGCTAACTTCAATTATGAAATCTTAAGTATTGCCCAGCTAAGTGGCAAAATAAATTCGCTGAACTATTTAATATTAAAACGTAAATACAAATATTCTAGTGAAGCTCACAGACAATTTTTACAACTACAGAATTTTGTTCTGTGCTGTCCAGATTACTATGTATATGTAGAACAGGGACCAAGATTTTCAATCTAATAATAAATCCAATATTCTATTAAAGTATCCCATTTTTAAGGAGGCCTTGCGAATCGAATTTAGCTAGATGCTTATCTTCTGGTTATTCTTGAGTCCTCGAATGTTTACTTTCAATCGTTTGATTGAGTGATAACCTGGAAGCGAGATTTGTAGCGAACGAATTCGAAGGATGATTATTCCGGCAGGGAGATCTTATGCTTTAAGCTTTTTTGTCTTAAGGGTTTTAGGCACCATATCCTTATGGATATCCATATATTTCCTCCTTTTTACCAAAAAAGAAAATGACTTTCCTTTCTAAGAGTTAAAGTCACCATAAGCAAGACAAGAAAATGTTTTTGAAAAGACTTACACCTAAACAGATGTATAATATATTAAATTGCTTCAAATACCTTGCACGTCTTTCATTACAATAATGAAAAATCAACTTTCTTTCATTTTCAATTGCACATTTAAATTTACCGCAAATCCATTACATTTGGGGAAAATTGTTGCCAGCCCTGACATTGGATTTTTCACAACCTCAAACAACGGTCACACTATCGGCTGACTATTGAAAAATTTGAGAAAAAAATTAATTTGACCCGAATAATGCGCTTAAAGTTATTTATTTTTACGGCGCTTCTCGCCCTTGTCAGCTGCGAGGTTATCATTGGCCAGGATGAACTGGTGGACGAGGTGTCTGGCCTGTTCACCATCGAAGGACGTGTTTCTCCGCCTGATTCCCTTTTTTCACCCATTCAAGGAGGCGGACGAAGTGCTCCGGTGAATAAGAATGCTCCCAAATGGCACACGGAGATTACGCTGTCCATCAATGACGGCGAGTTCAAGGGATTCGTCCGAGAGGATGGACAGTTTATGATCAGCGGAGTGCCCTCTGGCAGCTATATCCTGGATGTCCACCACCCGGATGTGTTCTATGAGCCGGTCAGTTAAGGGAATCCCTTCAATAGAACGCCACATTTACTGACATTTCTTCAATTGCAGGTGCGCGTCGAAATTAATCCAAAGGGAAAATTCCGCGCCCGCAAAGTGAACTTTGTCCAGCCCGCCCAAATTATGCAGGTGCCATATCCACTGCGCGTGAAGCCACTAATGCCCTTTAAATACTTCCAGACCAGAGAGCAGTGGAAGGTACGCTATTATGTTGCCTAACACGGTAGAAACGCAAATCTAACTTTTGGTCTTGACCCGCAGATCACCGACTTCCTGTTCAGCCCCATGGTCCTGATGATGGTCCTGCCCCTGCTCCTTATGCTGGTGCTGCCCAAGATGATTAACGATCCCGAGACCAAGAAAGAGATCGACAATTTACAGTTCCCCAAGATGGGCAATGATATGCCAGAGATCAGCGAAATGCTGACTTCCCTGCTAACGGGCAAGCAGCCAGAGCCCAAGGAGAAAAAGCCTGCTCCGGCAGTCAGGCAGGCGAAGAAGCGGAAGGACCAGTAGTAGTTGGCCACCAGATAGCTTTTAGATTTAAACCTAATCAGAGCTCCGAGCTGAAAGTCAAAGTCAGGTCGAATAAATGGTAAATTTTCATTATAAGACATTGCCGCTTTATTTGAGAAACCCAATTGTTTGCGGCCGCTTGGGTCCGACACGCTCCTGCTCTAGATTCAGCATTTTAGTAAGCAGCCGGTCCAGGTGCTCGCCAATGGCCAGACCCAACTCCAGACAGTTGCGCATGGTGTCCCGGTGCATGGCCCCACCGCCGGTCAAGTGTGTTCCCGAAAGGAATGCCTGTCCATCCCTCATGGAAACTGACACAACCACGCTTACTGTGCTGCAGACCTCCTCCTCCGCCGAAGGATCCACTAGGCAATAGTCACCGACCTTGCAAACTGTAACCAACAGTGGAACAGTCTCAATGCTGATGCGGGTGCAGTCATACGGATTATCCGATATAATGAGGTCTGTAATGCCGGCATCCAACATGGTGGCCGTCACCCGGGGCAACTTTGTGTTGAACAGAGCTGCTTTGGCGGCCAGCGACACTGCATCGTGTAGATTGCCGCCACACTCCAGAATCTGCAAGAACAGGCATTAACAATTGGATATACTTAGGCACACTTGAGTCTAACCAAGATGTCTATGTAAAGCTTCCAGCACTGCTGACCCGGAATGAGGCACAACGTGCGGTAGTCGAACGCCAGTGGCGATTCGTAGGCATTCTGCAGGGAGAGAATCAGTTCCTGGGCCAGATCCGACCCCCCGCGTCCCTCAAACTCTGGCGTGGCGTTAGCAGAGCTAAAATATATATGTTATGGCACATATTTTGAAGTTCTTCAGTATCATTACCAATCCACAAAGAACTCGAGTTTACCAAACTCGGGAGTCAGCGGGTTGGGAACATCAATCTCGGTTTTCACGCCCACCAGTATGTCTGTGTTGGCAAGTCGAAGGCGGGCGGAGCCACTAGCATTGCTGACCAGTCCGGTTTCCAGGTCCATGGGTCGGTAATCCCGTCGAGAACGTCCATCGCAACGAAAGTCATCCTAGAATCGAATAGTTTAAGGAACAGCCTAAATTTCCATTTCACTTACCTCCACGCCGTGTAGAATATATGTTTTTTCTGCTTCGCTTAGTGCAACATATGCCATTTTAGTCTTAATTTACGCAAACAAATATTCAAAACAAATTCAACATGTGCAATGAACTAACATCGATACTATCGATGTCCCGAACTTCGACAGACCAGGGCTGCCACAAATACCTGAATTCGATAGTTGATAGGTGAAACAAGAAATGTATTCCATACGGCTAAGAAGTTAAATATACAACATTTTAAACATAATTAATAGACATTTGTTCCCATGGGCGACTTTACACTGCCCTTCAATTAAGTGCGAAAGGTGTATTTTTCTGTGTGAGGGCAGGGTCGGACAACAACATTTCGAGCACAGTCGTTTCCAAATCTGGTAACACTTTTCCAAAACAAGCCAGTCATTTCGTTCTTGCGGCTTTTCAACAAACATCAATTGTAAATTGAATTGTGACAAATTGAAAGATCAAAATGCTTCCCGACTTTGATTTAACCGATACGCCGGTCAGCACTGGCGTAAGTATGAAGCCCATAACCCACATAAATGCGTACTAAGAGCACAGTCCTACCGATTTGCAGACCACCATTATGGCCGTGGAGTTCGATGGCGGAGTGGTTATTGGAGCCGATTCGCGCACTAGCTCTGGCGCCTATGTGGCCAACCGGGTCACCGACAAGCTGACCCGCATCACGGATAAAGTGTACTGCTGCCGCAGCGGATCCGCCGCCGACACCCAGGCCATTGCCGACATTGTGGCCTACTCCCTGAACTATCACGAAAACCAGACCAACAAGGAGGCTCTGGTGTTCGAAGCCGCCTCAGAGTTCCGTAACTACTGCTACAGCTACCGCGAGTCTCTGCTCGCCGGCATTATTGTGGCTGGTTGGGATGAGCAGCGCGGCGGCCAGGTGTACAGCATCCCGTTGGGAGGCATGCTTACCCGCGAGTCCTGCACTATCGGCGGATCGGGATCCAGTTTTATCTACGGATTTGTAAGGGAGCACTACCGCCCCAACATGCAGTTGGAGGAGTGCGTTTCGTTTGTCAAGAAGGGTGAGTAGTCTATTCCCATAATGATGCTAACAAAGTTTATTTTCAAACTAATCCCATTTAAACCTCCTCTAACAGCTGTCCAGCACGCTATTTACCACGACGGCAGCTCCGGCGGTGTGGTACGCATTGGCATCATCACCAAGGATGGCATTGAGCGCCGTATCTTCTACAACACGGAATCGGGCGCATCCGCTGTCTCCAGCACTCCCAGCTTCATTTCCTCGGAATAAATAGTATACTTACCCAAATAAGATCGATCAGAGGAAGAGTTGCAAACTCGTCTCATGCTAATAAACTTGGTTTTTGTAATATGGTTACTTTAATTTGTATTTTGGCTCTTATGGCAGTACAAAAGTTAAGTCTCTATTGGGTAAATGGTAATAAATAATCGAAAACCTAAGCCTAAGATGCATAGTCATACAAATAGTGCTGTTCCTGACACTGGTCCTTCCTCACAACTCAGATAACTACTGCGGCGAGATTGGAATGTTCCCTACAGGTAAGTCATTCCACCGCCTATCACATGACAGTCAATACCGAAATCCCTCGCTTACACTCTAATTCAGTCCAAGTGCACAATAATTTAGGAGTTGAGTTTGGTCACCTCGGCTGCGTCTATAGACTGCGTCTCCATGGACTTGTTGGTGGCACAGCGCTGCCTGCGGTGGCGGTACAATATCTCCGGGGTCCAAAACAGAACCACCGCTAGCAGAATAGCTCCTTGAGCATACAGGCAGATAAGGTAGGAGTCGGCGTAGTCTCGTACCCATCCCAGCAGCTGACCCACTGTGATTACAATAATGCCTTTGGACATCATGCTCAGTCCGAGGCCGCCGGCTAGTTTTTCCGAGCGGCAATGCGCCGATATGGTGAGATTGTTGTTAATTACGGTGGCTGATTTCATCATGCCCGTCAGCACAGACATGGAGATGATCACGGGCAGCGCTTGATTCTCGGCAAGCACACAACGGGCGACAAAGAGTCCAACAATGCCGATCAGGAACACCACACGATAGGGGATTCTAAGGTGATCTGTGACGATGGGCAGTAACAAACGACACACAATGTCAGCTCCAGCGACAAGGGACATGCAGAATGCCACCATCTGGCTGTTCAGTTTTGCCGTTTGTTCAAGGAAACCAGGAAAGATCATCGTGAAGTTTATGGTGGCCGTGTAGACTAGAGCCATGCCCACAATGATGCTCCAAAATACTACATCTTTGAGCAGCTCCAGATCCATTGCTTGTACCAGACGTTGTCCCATTCGGCTGCACAGAGTATCCACATTTGGCGGGCTACGCTCGGTTTTGCTTTGGTTTGTAGAAATAACAACCACTTGAAGGGGACTAGTCCTCTCGCCATCGGTCTCGGCCAGGAGTCGAATGTGTTTGCGGTTGTTGTGCTTGGCAGGCGGATTTAGGGGTTTCAAGAAGGCAGCACCAAAAAGCTGTGAAGTACTGAGGCTGTAAGCATTGGATTAACCCAATTTTATATTCTTAACTTACCCCAAATAGTGATAGGGAAGACATGGATAGGACGGCGTAGCGAAAACCATGGTTATCCAAGAGGTAACGCACTAGGTGGGGGATAAGCACCTGACCAAGTCCAGCACCTGCCAATGAGACACCCACAGCTCGTCCTCGCTTTGTCGTAAAGTACGAGTTAATGGCCATGAATGTGGAGGGCGAGATGAGGCCCAGTCCGAAGCCCACGAAGAAACTGTAGCCCAGAATAAAGTGCCAGCTTTCTGTAGCAAAGGCGCACAGAGCCAGGCCCAGGGCGACTAGGATGCAGCCTGTCGCGGCAACATTTCGGGGCTTAAAGCTTTTAATTGCGGGTCCAATGAAGAGGCCAGAAAAGTTAAGAGCCAGGCTGTTTAGATTTGTGATCAAGGCCGCGGTGAAGGTGTCCTCTTGCATTTTCTGCAGCTCACCCACAAAGAGCTGGCCGAAGACTGACAAAATGGATTGGTTGGTCATCTGGAAGCCGGCATGTGCAATAAAAATGTTTACTTTTGTGTTTTCGTTTCAAGAGTATTGACCACTCACATTAATCAACGCCACGGCCGCTACCACAATCCATCCGTAGCCGCCATCGGGCACAACGCGACTCGACTGCACATCCATGACTGTGCTCTCCGGGTTTCTCGTCGAGATTAAGCTGGCTAAAAATATGTAAACAGCGATAAGTGGACTTTTAAAACGTCTGGCTTTGTTTATGGCGTCTAAACGCAGGTGTAAAATGTGCGTTCCGATAAGAAATCGGACTTACACATCGGAGACGAGGTGAACGGCTCGTCTCAGTGATTTCTCCAAACTGCGTGGCCATTTCGTAAACAACGTTTTAACAAATTAAGGCGAATTAAAGCTTAAATTAAAATAAATTAATCTCAAAGTCGCAACACTTTGAGATAGTATGACCTGTCTGCGAATGCAATAAAATGTACATACTAAAAACTGCGCACTTCTTATGAGTGTGATATGCACCTTCCCTTTATGTGCCAGACTGTCATTTTGTTTAACAAAATAATTACGGTTTTTCTATTGCTGATAGTGCTTATCTAATTGTTAAATGCAAATAAAGGCAAATAACCCAATGTAGTTAGTTTGAAAACACTACGGTCCCACTATTCTGGATCGGCTTATCGATAGCCGCTAGCGATGACAGTAATCAGCTGTGCGTTGGCCTGCTTTTAATTGTAAAATAACACAAATTGTTAATATTTTTTGTTGTATATGTACCTGCGTCTCTTTTACAAATGCCTTGCTTTTTGTGCACTAAAAGTGTGGATGACGTGTTCGGCAATATAGAATTTGCCTCAGAGGAAGCCGATTCATTGGGCCTGCGATGCATCATCGAGAAACACTTCTGGCTCCAGGTAAACAAACCAATAACATCTTTAGTATTATTATTATTGAGGAGTCCACTTTTTTCAGATCCCTGCCTCAAGAACCGGCTATGTGTGCGGCGCTTGCTGGGAGCAGCTGCTGCTCTTCCACAACTTTTACCTTAATGTGGAACAAGCTCACAAAGCACTGGGTGAAACTGCATTGAAGGAGACATCCCCGCCAGAAGTGGTTGCTTCCGCACTAGAGGAGCACATCGTAAAAAGCGAGCAGGCTGACAGCGTAGCCGCTGCCGTCAAACGCCGACGTGGCCGTCCTCGAAAAGTCACTCAACACGATGCACGCGAGGAGCTGAAGAGCGTGCTGGAGCAAATAAACCTAAACGAAATAAAAATCGAGTTCCCTGAAGCTGACTTGACAATTGCCGATGTGCTTGAGGATCAGGAGGAGCATGATTTCCTGCCCGACGACTGCATCAGCAAGGAGGGCGCGGAGGAGCCAGAGGACTTGGAGAAAGAACAGCCGAAGCTTAAGCGAAAAGTTAGCGGACGCTCAAGAGGTCGTGGACGTGTGCGATTGGCGGAACGGCCCCAAACAAGCGCGCTGCCCAAAATCCAGAAATCACAAGAATTCAACGAATATATTCGTGAGCACTATAAAGTTCAGTGCCACATCTGTAACTTGCCAATGGAGGGTTTCTCCGAGATGCTGGCCCATGTACGACGCGAGCACAAGCAGCGCGGCTATTCTATGTGCTGCAACCGAAAGTTCTGGAAGCGCGGCGTTCTTGTGGACCATTTGCGACGTCACCAGGACCCTGAAACCTTTAAGTGCTCCATCTGCGCACGCGTGATGGGCCACCGTCGAAGTCTGGAGTTGCACATGCGCATGCATGAGATCAAGACGCGCGGGCGACTCTATCACTGCGAACAGTGCTCCAAGGGCTTCTTCAGCGCAGTTGTTTATGAGCGCCACAAGCTCACTCATATACCCCGAGAGCAGTGGCTGGTGAAATGCACGCACTGCGAGAAAACGTGAGTGAGCAAAAGATGTGCGGTTTTTCAGATTGTTACATTTGTATTTTTCAGTTATCCCAGTCAGTATACGATGCAGCAACATGTTAAGCTGGTCCATTTGAATTTATATGCCAAGATCTGTGATGTCTGTGGAAAATCCATCAGAGGTCGCGAAGCCTTGGCCAGGCACATGGAGGAGCACACGGGCGGGCCGCAGGCAGCAATCAAGTGCCACTTGTGCGACTCAATGCTAACCACCAAATATGGACTTGCCCGCCACATAAAAATGATGCATACCGCTGAGAACCTGCAGCCGATGCAGTGCGAATTTTGTCTGAAGATTTCCCCGAGTCTACAGGCACACCAGCACCATATTAAGTACACCCACAATACGGTGCGTAGCCATCAGTGTCCCATGTGCGAAAAGGCCTTCAAGAGGCCGAATGAGCTAAAGGTAATTAGTAAAATTATTAACAAAGCAGGTGTTATGGAACTATTCTTGCAGGAACACATGACAACCCATACTGGCGAGGTTTTGTACACATGCCCCCATTGTCCGCAGACCTTTAATTCAAATGCCAACATGCATGCACACCGCAAGAAGGTGCACCGCAAGGAGTGGGAAGAGAACCGCCACAAGCGACTGAATCGTCCTCGCAAATCGGACACGATCATCGCCGTTAGTGTACGCAAGACCACAGAGACCAGGCAGGATGGAGGGATGGGAACTGCAGGAGCGATAGCAACTACCAACAGCCCTGGATCAGAATGCTAGCCCTAGGTGAACCTTTAACCCAATAAAAACCAAATGGGACACCACACGCCTGTTGTAGCGACGAAAGGGGTAAACAATTTATATTATTATTAATTGAAATCCCTGCGCCGATGGGATCAACCGGCGGAAACTGGTTTTTCCATCTGCACCCCGATCATCTCGAACTGGTAAAACGGACATCGGAGCTGGCGTTATCAGCGATTAAGGTCGAATGTGGTAATTTATAACACATATAGACGCATATAGCACATAGGTTCAGTTTAAATGCTCTTATTTTGACGACGAGCAAGCCGCGATGCCTGGCTTAGGCAGACGGACAAACCAGTTTGAGTCGGTTTAGAAAAGTGGATTTCATCCTTATCAGCGAATTGGCATTATCATGCTCAGTTCAAAGGTACCATTAATCGGCGTGTGTTTGTACACATTCTAGTCTTCTGCGGAATCTTCAATCTGTGCCATAGAAATGACTAGGCAACCTATGATGGCTTGTTTTCCATCTGTGGTAACATCTTATTTACCAATGGAATATTTTGAATATTTTGCAAGCCGCACATGCTGCGACGCACATCTGCCAAGATCTCTGACCCTTTTTTGCATCATTACTTTGTTGGCTGTGATTCCCATTGGTTTAAGTGATTCCCGTGGATCTATCTCTTACTTATATTTATAATAGCTATTCATTTTACTCAAGACGTTACGCGAACCATTTTCGGTGATTCCCTTCCAATTCAATTCGTCTATATATGTAATTTTCTTTCTTTTCATCAGTAACAAATATTGCATTCAAATTGTTATTTCGCAATGTTTTTCAATGTCAAATATTATCTGACATCCAAATTAAGAACGATAACACGATTTTAAGCGACACTTACCTGCTGTAACTAGGTAATCTAAATATTCACTGTCAATGAAGACAAATCTTTTGTTTGTTTAATTTCACACTATCACTGTGCCGGCTCAGCTCTTCTAGATTTGATGCTTATCGCGCAACGAGCAAATATTATTTAAACAATATGCTTCTTCCAGACCCTCCTTTATATTCGTGAACAGTGTTGCCAACATCTTTCATAGGCTCTGTCCTGCGGGATCAAATCCCATGAGCCAGTAGAGCATCCCAAAGCCCGCAGCAAACCGGAGTACAGAGCCCGTTGCTCTGTAAGCCTCTTACATATGTACCTATTATATACGTACACAACGTATTGGCGGGATCTGAAGAAGTGGTAAGAAACGAACTTATTTTATGCGGCAGGAAAATTCTGGTTTCAAAAACTCAGTTCGGCGCCAAAATATCGATAGCCAACTAACAGTTGTTTTACCCGTGGCGTATATAGTGGAACCTAATTTCGAAAACTCAGTTCGACGCCAAGTTATCGATACGCAATAAAATTTTAAGAAAAATATCGATTTATTGATATTTTGATATATTATCAACAACCCTAATTTAGAGTCTCAAAATATTTCAAGTAATCTCAAGTAATAGTGAGGTCTTTAAAGTGAGTAGTAAAAATTGTTTTAAATAAAGCCTGAAGAATGTTTAACTTACTGTTGGAACACATAGTTATTGCCCCTTTTAATATTTGTTTAGGAAACATATTTTCTTTTAGCCCTATAATTCCCAACTAGTTCTAGTGAAGACTGTAAGGCATGTCTTCTAATTTTGAGTCACAAAATATTTCAAGTAATCTCTCTTACCGGTCGAGCATTGAGTGTAGTGTATTTGTAGTGTATGTACCGGTGTATGTATGTATGTATGTATATATGCATGTATGTATGTATGTATGTATGTATTTATGTATGTATGTATGTATGTGTGTGTGTGTGTGTATGTAAGTATATGTATGTATGCATATATGTATGTATGTATGTATGTATGTATGTATGTATGTATGTATGTATGAATGAATGTATGTATGTATGTATGCGTTACTTGCACAAATTAGTAAAAATTGTCTTAATTAAAGCCTGAAGAATGTTTAACTTACTGTTGGAACACATAGTTATTGCCCCTTTTAATATTTGTTTGGGAGACATATTTTCTTTCAGCCCTATAATTCCCAACTAGTTCTAGTGAAGACTGTAAGGTATGTCTTCTAATGTAGAGTCGCAAAATAGTTCAAGTAATCTCTCTTACCGGTCGAGCAGTGAATGTAGTGTATGTGTTCTTAAGTGTGATTACTTGCAAGATCAAATTGGCATCTCTCTTGAACAAATAACCGGGCAAATGTAGGGATGTCGTAATATTAAAATCGTATCGATGATATTTTTTTTATCAAAAAAAATGATGATAATATTTAAAATATCATAAAAATATATGGAAAAAAAAAAATATAAAAAAAATCGCAATATCGATATTTGGGCTAAAACAATATCACGATATAAATTTAAAATTTTCAGAAAAATATCGATATATTGATATAATATATTATCAACAACCCTAAACAGTTGTTTTACCCGATAGCTTAGTGGAATATATAGAATATTAAGCATTAACCATGGATATGACTAGCAGGTGGAAGAACCTGGTACATAAACAAAATGTGTACAATATTTATTTTGTTTCTACTAATTCAAGAAATGGAAAAGGAAAAATGGAAATTCGTACAATTTGAACCCTCCAGAAACGCCATTTACTGCGCCGCTGTCTGCACCCACCTCGCTCAGCTGTTTCGGTTGTCTCCCTCGCACACATAATCGTGAACGTGTCAACCGAAGGCTTTTGTTTTCGTTCCGCATTTTCCTAGCTTTTCCGGGCAATATGGTAGACGACAGCACACGAAAAACGCTCAGCAACATTCCCCTGCTCCAGATTCGCGCTGGTCCGCGTGAAAAGGATGTGTGGGTGCAGCGGCTAAAGGAGGAGTACCAGGCACTAATCAAGGTGCTTATAAAGATTCCGATTAAGTTGTAGTCGATGGAACTAGTAACGTTTCCCCTTTGCAGTATGTGGAAAACAACAAACAGTCCGGCAGCGACTGGTTCCGCCTAGAGTCCAACAAGGAGGGCACCAAGTGGTTCGGAAAGTGTTGGTACATGCACAACCTGTTAAAGTACGAGTTCGACGTGGAGTTCGACATTCCAGTGACGTACCCAACCACTGCGCCCGAGATTGCCCTTCCGGAACTTGATGGCAAGACAGCGAAGATGTACCGTGGAGGCAAGATCTGCCTGACGGATCACTTTAAGCCTTTGTGGGCACGCAATGTTCCCAAGTTCGGAATCGCACACGCTATGGCTCTGGGTGTAAGTACTCAAAACATACCCACGACATCGATGGATCTTCTTGATCAATCCTTTGTTACAGCTTGCTCCTTGGCTGGCCGTGGAGATTCCGGACCTCATTGAGAAGGGAATCATTACGTACAAGGAAAAGTAGCTAACTAAACTAGATAAAATTACTGGCAACAAAACAATGAACAAAGTTTAATACGAAAGTCATTTATCTTTGCGTTTATTAGTCAAAAGTCAAATTGGAAAAGATCATTCTGCGTTCCTTCATCGTCGCGTATCCTAGGTGTCTAAGTGGTAAGAATTTCATTTGGTTGATTCAGTTTGATCAGTGAGCTTGCTCCTCGTCATTCCCTTAGTTCATGTGGTTATGGTTGTTGCGCTGTGATGACTGGCGCCAGGTATCCGACCAGATTGAGCTTGGCGAGGTAAAAGGATCGTACTGCGTGGGAAGGCTTTCGCCGGTTAGTCCTGCTCCAGTTCCAGATGCCGTTCCCGCTGAGCCTGGTTCTTGTGCAAGGTTGTGCGTCTGACGTGCGTTCTGCTCCAAACCTGGAGGAGGACGCATGACACCGATGCCGGTTGTGGCGTTGGGCCAGGTGGAGTACCCTAGTGGTGACCAGTTTGTGGCCCAGTTGCTCGGATCCATATTCGCCAGCAGCGAAATCTTCTCCTGGTGCCTTTGCTGAAGCTCCAATTTCTGGGCCTGCTGAAGAAGTAGCTGCTGTTGCATGACCAAGTCGCTCCGCTGCTCCCACTGCTGTTTTTCCCGCTCCCTTTGTTCGTAGATAGCTGTTCGAGGAGTGCAAGAAATTCATTAGGAACTTTTAAGCTTGTAATCCTTAAAGTTACTTACCATCTTGTGTTATTAAGTCCACCTCGGTGTTGGCAAACAGCGAATTACTGGCCGTAGCTGAAAGTGGCTCCCACAGCGATGTCACCATTGGCGGCGTGGAGTTCTTGCGGTTGTCTCCGATCGGTCCCAGATCACTCGAAGAAGACGCGTGATTCCAATCAAAGCCATTGTCTGTGGGCGCCAATTGCGGTGTCCGAAGCACATCCCGGAAAGAAACGCGACTGCTCGTCTCCCAAGGATTGCTTATGCATTTAAGCGCATCTGGTGATTCTGGCGGCGACGCGCTATTTGTGGTCTGTCCAAAATTCAACTTCTGCCGCTGTTTTCGCTCTGGCTTTTTGAATCCCACTCCAGCCCCCGTGCCATTTGTCAACTTTTGATCCTTCGAGCGACGTTCCCTTTCCCGCTCTCTTCCTGGTGTTTTTCCCATTTTCTTGGCCGATCCGTTCTGCTCCTTAAGCACACGCGGTTCTGGTGGCTTGTTGGGCTTCGGCGATATGTTCTCCTGCTGGGGTGGACTCGATTTGGTCAACACCTTTTCGTGTTGCTCCACAACGGGTGTCGCGGCTTCTGGCTTTGGTTTGGTTGCCAATAGGGCCACGGCAGGTGTAGGTTTTACTTTCTTCTGGGGCCGAAGCTGAACTGAGAGAGAAACACCTTGGGGCGATGGCGTCGAAGATTTCTTAACGGGCTTTGCTTCCGGCAAGGGGGCAGGAGCAGCAGCAGGAGGGGTAACTGGAGTGCTTACCACTGTCTTTGGTTTTGCTTTTTGTAGATGCTTGCTTAGCGCATTCATGTCCATGCTCCATGGTGACCAGGAGGACTTCGACTTTGACTTAGAATTCGTGGAATTCAGTACACTTCGCTTTCGTAGTTCCTTAAGTTGGCCATTTCTGACCTTCTGTTGTTGCTGCACAGGCTCTGCTTTAGCTGCCGCCTCCTCCGCCTGCAGTTTTACTATATTGCGTAAATTAAACGTAGGCTGCAAAGGACCCTTGTTTCTGGCCGCATCGTAGGCACTCTGTTGGACCATTATGGCTTTTGCATCAAAGACAGCAGCCACCAAGACCAGTCCAAAGCTGGCTAGTAGCACTACAAGAGCGGCGTTCTTTAGGGAGGATTCCCATCCAGGTCTAACCAAAAGAGACGCACATAGTTCCACACTTTCCGCTGGCATTTGTGCTAAAAGTATATAGCTTATATCGTAGGTAAGGTTCGTTAGCAGCGTAAGGGATCGTTTTACCCTCGAGGTAGTAAAGTCTGCGCTAAACGCAATCTCTACTTTTCTAGTTTCATTCTCGCCCAGATCAAATCCCGCGCAATCCATCACCTTAAAGCCGAAATCCTCACAGTGCAGAGAGCCAATAAGGAAGCCCTCGATCCTTATTGGGATGACACCCGAGTTGCGGGCCGTGAAACTGCGCGTCACTACCACAGCTTCATTGCCAGACTGGCATCCCTGAAATTGGTCGGTGTCCATCTCAAAGAGCAACGGCGAGGCGGCTCCCGGGCGCCGATTTCCAAAACGGAACTGCGACTGCACGGCCCGAGCCTGGAGCCACACAGCCTCATACAGCGTAAGATTGCTTCTCACGTGCAGCAGGGTACAGTACTTCTCCGGCAGCTGGGCGCTGAAAGTGATGGGTATGTTTAAGCTGGCGCCTCCAGGCAGCAGAATGGGATCACCGGCTTCAGGCAGGGAAAAAACCGCTCTATCTGTCAGATAGCAACTTGTTGAGCTAACGTCAATCACTTCGTGTGGTAACGAAAGCTGCGTACGGCGCGCAAAAGCCGGATCCGATAGAAAGTAGTCAAGCAGGAGCGGACTCTGCGAAGGATTCGTCAGCGTTATCCACTGGCGCTGCACCTGGCCAACCTCAATAGCCGGAGTAGGTGGAATAGGCTGAGACTGTACCAGCTTCGGCCACTCAATCGTTATGGAAAAGTCCAACTCCAACGGCGGTAGCTCTTCGCTGTGTAGCGTGAGAGACATAGATGACAGTTGGCGTCGCAACTGCCTAAAGAGTTCCGTGCGTTGCCTCAACTCCACTCCGTCATAGAGGAGATTATTGTTGATAACGCCACCGTTGCCATTCCCTCCTCCTGGAACGCTCGGGAAGATGGCTAGATCGTTAGTGGACTCTCTTATGTAGCAATTATTTTGACACACGGAGGCCGGGTCAAAGTAAATGCGTCCAACTTTGGTCAGCGTTTGCGGAGCAATCGTAGTGCCCTTCGCGTTAAAGTCCTTGAAGCGCAGTCCCACCGGAAGAGCAAAGGATACACCCTTTACGTGCACCGGGTGTGTGAAGCTGGACCGGATGCTAAGCACGGCAGTGCACATTTTACCAGGAAAGCAGTTCTTAAAGTTGAGTTGCTCCTGCTCAATCTCTAAGTGGCCCACAGAGGCCTCGAACTTAACGCGGACGCGTATCACCTCGTATGGCGTCCAAACCTTAAGGGTTCCAAAGGTGGCATCCGCTTCGTACGTCTGAATGGCCACTTTAAATACGGCACTCTCACCGGCGCGGATCTCTGTGCATAAATGCCATCCCTTAGTCTCGTTCTCGACACTTACCGGATGTCCGATTGCCGTGGCGCGACAGCCCAGGAAGGTGCTTTGCGAGTAGACAGTTTTTGGATGCTTGAAGAACCAGTTGGTGATTCTAACAGGCACTGGATTGTCGTTCCTCAGGATCACAAATCCGTCGCGCGACATCTCAGCGAATGGCACAGTACCCAGATCTAGCTCCAGGTTGTATGCCGCTTTCTCCAGTGATTCCTGGCGAAAGTTAAGCACAATTGGCTGCGTGGAGACGTGTAAACGGCCACTGCATGATAATAACGGAAGTTTAAAGACCGTGACGTTCGTCTCAATCCTCAGAAAGGATTTAAACGCCACCTGGTCGTTTAGCAGATTTAGGCGTAGGAGCTCAACAGATTCGCCTGGCTGAAGGAGTATCCTGGGATCGCCCACTAGGGCTACTTCTAAAATGGATTCATCAATGGGCTCTGTGAGACTTACGTTAAACAGAATGAGGGGTATTGCGAAGTTGTTTCGCACCACAAGCGAGCGCTTTCTTTCCAGCGGTTCACCCTCGCCGTCTTCTGGCGAAGTGGTCACAAATCTGGTGGCATTTCTGTCAAAGTAGAGCCCTCCATGGAAGATCTCCGCTCTCACCAGTACTGTGAAGGTCTGATCCGCACCAGGACTGGAACTTGACTGGTTACTGTTGATCACCAGCAGATCATTAATGGTTTCGTCGCCTTCGAACAGGCTGGGGTCCAACACTATACTTGTGTTGTTTGCGTCAAACGAGAGACCCGGAATCTGGCGAAGGTAACTGCCGAAGAGTTGGCGGCTCTCATCGTTCCGAACATCCAGCTTGAACTGTAGTGCATCCGGAGCGTTTAAAGTGGCCACACGGCCAAAGTCCGCCAGTGGATTGCGGGCATAGGCAGAATGCCGTGGCAGGATCTCAAACTCGACCGGAATAACCAGAACGTTTTCGTGGCCGAGATCCAATTCCTGCTCTGCGATTTTTATGCGTATGTAGGCGCTGTGATTGCCAGCTGTGCGGCCGTGGAAGGATATCCTAATGACCGGCTTAAACGTGTGTGGCGGAATTTCCCACAGATTTTGTGGACCTTCCGAGCCACCGCTGGGCAACTCTAACTGAAACTCACCGCCGCTGCTGTATATCTAAAAAAGAAGGTGGTAATGAGTAATGTAGCTTCAGAGTGTTGAATAAACCCTACCTCAAGTATCTGCAGCGGCCGCTCGTGCGGGTTGTACATGTGAATCTCTGGCGTGAGTGTCGCATTCATGGGCGCCTTAATACCCACCAACGGCTTCAGGCGGTACGGGCACTCACTGCCCTCGCCCTGCACCGCCAACTCGGCCTGGCCGAAGGAGGTGTGAATGAGAAGGTCGGCGGCAATGGCGCCCAGTTGCCGCGGTAGGAACACGACGTTAAAAGTGGTATTGCCTCGCGGCGGCACCTCTCTCGTGCCCAGGAAGCTGCTGTAGAACGCCGGACTTGGTCCGGCCACCGCGTTCAGCTGGAGAGTTCGGTTGGAGTGCTGATTGAACAGTGTCACCGTCTGGGAACGCGCCTGGCCGACGGACCACGTTCCAAAGTCTAGACGGGACGGCACAAGTTGAAGGTCCCCCAAATCGTGGATTGGTGCCTCCTGCAGCCCCAGGAAAGTCTCCTGAAAGACCTTTTCACCTTTGGCGCCCAAAGTGAGAAGGAAGATCAGGATGAGCAGGATGGGTTCTGCGAATATTCGCAAAAGCGGCCTCATCTGGACTTGTGTGGGCATGGCGTGTGTTCCCGTGATCCTGGG